ACACAAGGAAACCATGTTTTCTGGACTTCACAAGCAGTTGCACATATGAATCCACAGCATGTGTGACAGCATTCACAAGACCCATACAAGCCTAAGCCAGACAAATACCCAGTATGAATGGGGGAGGTGGGCAAGTCCCAGCCCTATCAGAGGAACCGTTGGTAAATGATAGCTGCTGGGAAAAAGAGAATAAGTTTTCTTCAAGGTGTGATACATGGAGGTTGATCAGGCTCTAGGGCATGGACCCACACACAAGAGCATTTGAGGAACACAAATTATACTCAATAGGCCTTACAAAAACAGAGGACATAAAATGAGGGAGGATGTAGGGAGGTGGTGATAGATCTGAAAATTGATGGGGGAGGGGGTCTGAATATGATCAAAATGCATTGTATGAAATTCTCAAAGAATCAGTAAAATCTTATTTTAAAAAGAAAATGTACTATGCAATATTATTCAGGTGCTAGGGATTGATCCCAGAAGAACAAAGCCGTATACTTTCCAGGATAATGGGTAGAAATGGAGACAATCATGTTAAGTAAAATGCCAGACTCTGAAAGACAAGTATTATGTGTTTTCTCTCATTATGTGGGAGAGAGAGAAGGGGGGGGTGGGAGGGAAGGGGAGGGGGAAGGAGAAGAGGGATGGAGGGAGCGACTGAGATGGTAAATGACATGATGGTGGAAAGGGGGTAGAGGGCCACTAAAAAAGAGGAAAAAAGAAAGGGATCAGAGAGAAGGGAAGGGGTGATCAAGGGGGACAAGAGAGTACAGAAATAAAGTATAGAATGTATATTTATGAATATACTGAAATAAAATCCATATTCTATACTAATAAAAAGGTATCTGCACAGCAAATAAAACTATCAGCAGAGAAAAAGACAGCCTATGGTAGAAGAAAATCTTTGTCAGCTAAGCATTTTCATTGGCAATATTTAAGAGAAAATTGTGATTTCTGTCCTAGATAGTTAAGTTAAAAATTACTTTCAAGTTCTTAGTTCTTTGCCTTAGTCTCAAAGAAAGGAAAGGAAAAAAATAAAATTAGAAAAAATAATAAAGGAATGAAGTAGACTTCTCTATACCAATATGGAAAACCTATTATGAAATGTTAAATGAATGTTATTTTCAATAAAAACTTAACAAAATAAAAAAGAAGCTGGAGGTTTGTCTCAGTGGTTAAGAGCACTGACTGCTCCTGCAGAGGACTCCTTGCAGAGGGTTCAATTCTCAGCACCTACATGGTGGCTAACAACCATCCTAACTCCAGTTCCAGGGGATCCAACACCCTCTTCTGACCTCTGTGGGCATTGTACAACACACACACACACACAGACAATGCACTTATAAACATAAAATAAACATAAATAAAAAATTTAGTAATAAAAAACAGTAAATAAAAATGGCAATTTAGAAAATGTGGACCAAAATTGTAAAGGCTCCTGAAGCAGCTGTATGAAAATTAAAAAAAAAAACCAAGACACTAAGGAACTACTGAACCGAAATCTAGACAGCAAAATGTCAGTGTTAAAGTTAATATTCAGAATTGCTTTTGCATTGAGGGCAAAAGCAGTTCAGAGAAATTAATGGGAAAATTACTTTGAACATCAGACGGAAAAAATTTAAAATGCCTGGGCATTTAGGTCAAAAGTGTGATAAACCATACTTAAGACAAATTAAGCCCAGACTTACGAGGCTACATCTTCAAGGTAAGAAATCTTCATGTTCACACTCAATCCTCAAATTTAAGATGACATGGTTCCTTAACTGATAGTGCCCCAGGCACCTTTGAGAAATAAGCAAAATTTTCTCTGATGGATCACTATATGCATCACATTTTTATTCCCACAGCAAATCTGTAAATCTATTGACTACTACCTGGTGATTCACAAGAGGCATGAGGAACAGTACGAAAAGAAACAAGCTCATAACAATTTCAGACATCGGTACCGATCTAGATGACATGTTTACTACATTAAAGAAGTGTTAAGTTAGAGTTTGCAATATTTTCAGGGAACAATAAGCTATAAAAAGTGATATTGCAATTTTTGAAAGAAGTCTTAAAAAAATTCCAGAAATTTGAAAACTAACTGAAATTATTAATTCACATTTGAACTACACAGGTTAGAAGGGCAAATGAGATTCAGCAAACTAAAGGAACATCAGCGCCGAGGATGTAGCTCAGAGGCACAGTGCTCACTTACTGGCCATATGCAAGACCCTAGGTTCCATCCCCAGCATCTCAAAAATTAAATTAAATTAAAAAATTAATTGTAGACCAAAAGTAATTAGCTAGAATATAGAATATAGCATGGTAAGACAAAAGATGGAAAATGAAAGTAAGGATAAACTCAGAAAATCTAATGGCTATACTACAATCAGAGACATGTAAGCACAGTAAAGAATCAGGCAGAGATAATATTAAAAGAAACATTAGATAAGACTTTTCTAGAACTAAGGCACCAATCCAAAATTTAGAAGGTATTTATTATGACATCATGATGAAGATACAGTAATGATAATACTTTAAGTTGATATTTTAAAATTAGCTATTTTCAAGACAGAACAGAAGAAATATTGTGAGAAACTACTAAAAATTTCAAAATCACTGACAGTAATGAATCCAACTGGGACTTGCAGAATTGAACATGTATTTAGTGAAAGGTGTCATTCTAGAATAAACACAGGGACTTGGGTAGGAAATCCCAACCCAGCCTAGGGAACTTCTGGCAACTGATGGCTGCTAGGAGGAAGAGAGGCAGTCTCTTACAGGGATGCGGCTCTTGGTATGTTGATCAGGCTCTAGTGAATATACCCACACTGAGGGACACGTGGGGACACAAATCAGATTCTATACCCGTATTGTACATATGGTCGAGTATACTGAATTGGGCAAGGGGAAGTAGGAGGTACAGATAGGGGAGGGGATCTACATATATCAAATTATACCGTATGCAAATCACAAAATTCAATAAAAAATTTAAAAATTATTTTATTATTGTATGCGTATTTTTTTTTTGTGTGTGTGTGTACATGCATGCATGCCACAGTGTGCATGAGATCATGGGCTGTTTTTACTTTTCAATAGAACAGAACTAAGGTTGTCAGGCATGCATGGCAAGCACTTTTACCTGCTGAGTGACTGTCTGTCCCAACTTTGAACATTTACTTACTTACATAAAGAAATTAGCAGCAGCAGAAATATTCAAGCAGACAAGAATTGATGCATATTATTTCAGATTTATCCTATACACCTTAAATGTGATATTTAGCTGTACGGAGGCAGAATAGCAGAGTCTAGGACTCTGGCTTGTTTAATTTCTCTTTTCATATGTTTATAAGACAGGGACTAAGAAGGTAAAGTTTTTACTACTCATGGTATTATTTTATGCTGTGCTTCTCTAAGTAACGCAGGTTCCACCTTGAACTCATAATCCTCCTGCTTCAGACTCTTGAGTGCTGAGACTAATAGGCATGCACTACCATGCCTGGTTACTACCTATACCACCCTGTACAAATACTAAAGAAATTAAAGAGCGCACAGCAAGAAACAATGTTCCATTAATCCAGAGACAGCACTCATGGATATTTATTTCAGCTATGTGTCCTAAGTACATGTCTCAATTTCAAGGTACAACCAGACCCACAATTTATACTTAAGAATTAAACTATAAACAAAATAAAAATATTCCTATGAATTGATGTGCTTTTAAAAGTTTGCTGATACTTTCAATATCTATTCTTTTTAATCTTTACTTTTTAAATAGTTATCTGTACAGGTTGGCCCTTTTCACACTAGATCAGGGTTTCTTAACTTTAGCACTATTGATATTTTGGCATTAGTTATTCTGTTTGGAAGGATAGATGTCCTATGCACTGTAAATGTTCAGTAGTATTTCTGGCCCCAAGCACTATCATTGTGGGTGTGACAATCAAAAATATCTTTAGAGACTGCCAAGTGTTGTACAGGAAGCAACAAGATTTTGCTTTTGAGTACTCCAATGAGATTTTTTTGTTGTTGTTTTTGAGACAGGGTCTCTCTGTAGCCCCAGAGGCCTGAAACTCACTATGTAGACCAGGCTGGCCTTGAAAATTTTAGCAAAGATCTAGAAATGATCTAAAGTAATATAGTAAGTACAAAGCTGTTATTTTAGTATCATATTGAATTAGGACAAAAATCCTAGACGTTTAACTGTTACCATATCTGAGCAAGAGAGCACAGTTAATCAAATTATGAATGATCCTATTCACACTAGACATTTCCATTAGATGAAATAGTTCCCACTACTTCACATTGAAGATCAGCTAAAACAAAAATAAGAGATTAATGGGAAGATGGAATGGAAAATGGCGCCAGACAAAAAGTTAATAAAACAGAATTTTAAGTAATCAATTTTTATTTTTAGTGACTTTTCAACAGATACATGATACATTTGTTATCTAGGCCTAACACTATTACACATTACACACGTTATTGCATAACTAGCTGATGAAGTTCTAGGAAAATGGAAACACTTCTACATATTTTATTAGTATTTGTATAAAACTGTTAATTCTTTTAAAAAAGATTTTATTTTAGTTTTTTGAATTGCGTATGCATGTTCTCCGTGTGTGTGTGTGTGTGTGTGTGTGTGTGTGTGTACGTGAGTACAAGTGCTAGGTGCTGGGAACTGAACCCAGGCCCTTTGCAAGAGCAGTACATCTCTTAACCACTGAGAAATCTCTTTTGAGTCTATGATTTACAGGAAATGAGTTTATTGTTCTCTTTACCTGCTAATTACAAAATCATATTCCTGTAAAAGTTTAAGGCTAAAAGTTTACCTTCACATTATCTCATTTTGATAACCTTACACAATTGAAACTATGACTTTATGACGTATTTTCATCCACAAACTATTTGGTCAAGTAAATAATGCTCTTGATTTCAAAAATTCATTTTATCAAATGTATACCAGGATGATAAAGGAAAAGTATAACATTTTGAACATACAGTGAGGCCCTTACCTACAAGCAACATTTGGATCAGCATTTCGAGACAGTAGTAGCTCAACACACTTCAAGATCTGTTCCTCTGAGCCACGAGCAGAGCATGCAGTCATCAAAATAGTTAACTTATCTATAGTTAATAGAAAAGCAAAGAAAAATCCCTACACATTAGGAAGCATCTCTAATGTACTTTTTAAAAACCATTCTAAGCATTTACTGCACTCTAAAATTCTACAACTTCTGCCTATCTATGACTCCTGGCAGATCTCACCATCTAGGGATGGACCACTTACATCTCCAAAGTATAGCTCATTTCATATCTTAACTTCCTTCCTCTATTGCCATTTCTTCAGAAGAATAGAAAGTGTTTTGGTATATTGACTCTGTGTGGCCACACTACCTGGGTATAAACAGTTTTTGATGGATTAAACTTTGCCTTGTTTAATTTATGATTGGAAAATAATGATCTATATTTTCTGGTTTGATTTCTCATTACCCATTTGACAATTCTTGAGACTTGCTTGTAAAGTACTGTACTCAAACTGTAATTAACTACACGTTCATTGGTTTCCCTGTTACATATTATTTATTTTGTGTGTGCTGGGTGGGTGGGGGGCACATGCACACTGGAACACAGAGGTGGAGGGCAGAAAATAATCCCTGGGACTCTCCTTCTACCATGTTTCACACACTTTCAAAACTCTCATTCTTAAATATATTTTCATCAAGTGATGTCTTCAAGTGACACAATGAAAAGAAAAATCTATGTAAGCATGCAACTAAGAGAAGAAACATAAACTGGATTTACATAAATACTCTTGATCTTTAAAAGGACTCGAGCACTACTGAGTGAAAAATATTTAATAACAAAGACAGAAACATAGATTTAATAAACTACAAAACAACTTTAATTCAGAGTTTATAATTATATATACTGATTTAAGTAATTTTTCACAAAATTCTTAGCTTTTTGCTGTTTCAATGTATTGTTCCTTCAACAAAAATCATCTAGTATATAATTTAAAAGTATGTTTATAACATTACCTATTATAAACATAACAGTAAAACCTGTTATGAAGATAATAGGTTATAAGTCTATCTTTTGAAAAAATAATTGCTCAAAACATATTTATTTTTAAATTAAAAATTTAATTTTTCATATTAATCTAATACAATTAAAAGATTTTTATTCAAAATGCTTTAATTTTTTCACTCTGCATACTTGCTGCTTGGAAATCAAATCATCACAGTAAACATAATTAATTTTCTCAAATCTCTTACCTTTATCAAAGCTTGCATTAGCACCTCTGTCCAGAAGGAACCGAACCAGCTCTACATTAGCAACGCTAGCAGCATACATAAGAGGAGTCCATCCATACTGAAAGCTAGAATCTACACTAACGCCTGTCAATACAAAAACAAAGTTTTAAAATTCCTCCCCACCAAAACCAACCAAAACAATGACAAATAAACTCTCATTGTTACCTCAGTCTGTGTAAAGTATATGGATATTGCAACACACATACGTAGTTTATTATGGAAGAGAATTTCTTGGTGAAAACAGTTTCAGAAAAGACTTGCACTGGTATTAACAAAATTCGCTTCCCTTAGTCTCAGGTTGGAGAGACCAAAGTTTTACCACACAATAGAGAGAGTATCTACAGTATAATAGGGTTTTCGATGCTAGACTTTTCTCTGTAGTGGTGTTAGGGAAGGTTTTGCAGAGGTCGTGTCTTTTAAATAAGAATATTATCTCTACACAGATCACACAACTGTATCATTTTAAATACTACATATATCCCAAAGATGTCCTGAATTTCTTACCAACACAAACTTAACGCATGGGTGACTGATGAAGAATGAAACTAAAAGATAGGCTTGGGCTAGAGCACGAAAGCTCTGAGAAATACAGACTACAGTTTGTAATCCAGGGATCAACATTAGTATATATCTATACCATAAACACAACATACACTCTTGTTGAGAATGGGACAGCAGGTATGGAAACTAGGATGAAGCCAGAAGTTTAATAAACAAAAATAAAATCAAGAACAGTGAAGACAGAAGAAAGAAAATGAAAGGAGATTGAAAGGCAGGACCATTGTAATTTAAAACTACTTTGAGAAGGAGTGATTAGAAATAAATAGGAAATTACTATCAAGTTGTGCTGTAGGCACAGATGAAATGTCAGGCACTGAGTGAAAAAGAAGGTTTAAAATAGTCACTATTCAGAGTGAGACAGGAAAAGGCAGGTAATAATTCTCATGAAAGGACAACAGTAAAATCCTCAAATCATTAATATTTCACATCCTTTGAATTATAGGATTTTCCTCAATAATACAGGTTTGGTCATACAATGCAAACAAACAAACAAACAAAAAACCTGAGCTGATCTAGGACTGAATAGGAGCATATATGGACAAGGACACGATAAGGCAATGAATATAACTTATTAAATTTATATAAAGCCTTTCTTATAAAGAGATCAAGGTTTAAGTGGCAATTTCTCTTCGACTTAAATACTTCCCAGGGATAGAGAGACGGCTCAGAGGTTAAGAACAGTAATTCTTCTTGCAGAAGATCTGGGTTCAGTTCCCAGCATCCACATGGTGGCTAAAAACCATCCATAACTACAGTTCCGGGGATTTGATGCCCTCTTTTGGTCTCCATGGGCATTGTACAATATGGATATATCTACATACATACGGGCAAACATTCATACATATAAAATAAAAATAAAAAAGGAACACTTGATAATCTCATGAAAGAAAAGAGAATGCTTTTGTTTCAAAGAAATTTGTATCGGTAACAGCATTGGTTATAACATTTTATAATTTACAGGTCTTAAGATATCTGGCTATGGTATTCTGCTTGGAGAGATACTGAGGAATGCACTGAGAGGCTCACTTTTTTCCCCCTGTGAAAACACTAAGTCACTAAAGACTATATATGTAAATTCCCAATTGTCTCACTTAAGTTGGTATAAGGTACATGGTATTTCTGGGAAAATAAAGCCCTAAATTATTAATATATTTCTCTGCTCCAGCTTCTCTTAAAAATGTTTCCTCTTTACACTAATGCAACCAGAAGAGAACAAGTTCAGAGAAAAGATCATTTTATTACATTTTTCTTTGACAGTGCAGCTAAAATGGTGACATATGTAGAAAGGAAAGAGTGAAGAAAAAGAGAAGTAAATGTGGAATTTTGGTACAAAAAATTTACCAATTATCACATCTAATACTTAAAGTATTTTGTAGGAACAAAGGTAAGATCTCTTTCTCCTTGTATGTATAGATCTGTTATCACCTTTTTAAAACGAACTTTTAAAGTTTTTGTAATTAGGGCCAAATTTCAAAGGTTGACCAAACAATTAGCAGTAGGTTATGTTCAAGCACTGAAAAACCCCAAATTTGCCCATCAGTCATAGGGAGTCCAGTTATCTCATAGTCTTCTATTACCTTCACTATGCCTATTCCCACTGCTTGCGTACAAATTCTGTTTTCTAAAAGAAATTTCTGCCTATTCTATCCCATCCCATCAATTACATTCATATTTCTTATTCACTCCTCCATTTCCTTAAATTTTATTGAATTTCATTCATCAAGTGGATCTCAAGTTCCACTGTTGTCTACAAAGTCAGACAGATCTTTGCCACAAGAATACAGGTAAAATTTACATAATGTTCAGCTACTATTGACATAAAGTCTACAGACTCTATCCTTTATATATTATCTTAGTTTCATTCTCCTCCTCTCCAATATCCCTTTGATAAAATGTCATCTTCACTTTAGAAAGGGGGAAACTGAAGTTTATCAAGGTTCAACAGCTTAATATTACAGAGCCACCAAGTGTCATGGTTAGTAATAAAAACCTGATCTTGTTTGATTTATTTTCTGCTAAAGAACATACTGTTTCCAGTATAGAACTTTCCTTCTTCTCTTCCTTCCTTCCTTCCTTTCTTGTCTTTTTTGAGACAGGGTCTCTCTCTAGCCCCTGCTATGTAGACCAGGCTAGCCTTGAACTTACAGTGATCTGCCTGCCTCTGCCTCCTCAGTGCTGGGATTCAAGGCATGCACCACCATGCCCGGCCTAACCTCATATATTTTTTTGTGTGAATATTTTGTGTCTTATAGATGTTTAATGCATGCTAGTCCTTTGGATAATTTCAACCATTAGGGTCAACAATTTAATGCACATTTGTAGATAAGTAAAAAATGTATTTCATCTAAGCTACAGAAAAACACTAGGGAACTCAGGGCAGACTATGCTCTGAAAGTTTAAGTAACATTTTCAAGGAATCACACTGAAAAGGCCATAAAGCTGGAACAAATATCCACATATTTATTCTGCCATCTAACACAGGCCTTACTCTACCAGAACAACAAAAAGCAGACGGAAGCTGAACCTGAAACAATTCTTGAGAAACATACTATAGCCAAGTAAATATTTAAAAGGATCAAGGTGGGGTAGGGTTAGTTTGAACCCCCAGAAGTAGTGGGGGTTTTTTTTTTTTTTTTTTTTTTTTGGTCATTTTTGAAAGAGTCTCCCCAGCTGGCCTGGAACTCACTCTATAGGCCAGGCTGCCTTGAACTCACAGAGATCTGCCTGCCTTGGCCTCTGGAGTGCTGGGATCAAAGGCATGCAACCACCATGCCAGACCAGAATAGGCTTCTTAAACAAGGTGGCTGGAGAGTACTTACAGTAGCATTCCAAATGAAGGTAGATGGAAGACAAAAAGGCAGGCAGACTGAAAGTCAACAGAGACATGTAAAAGGCAACTGATAATGGTTTCATTGGAGAAACAGCACAGACTTTAAGATTAGAAGCTTAGTGAACTTAACATCTCTGCTTTTTTAACTCTGTTCCTTAACTCACCAGAATCTAGAAGCTCTTTCACTAAGAAAATATCTCCGGTAGTCAGTGCTTTCTTAAACGTTTCATTCTTCTCTTCAGCCGGTAACAACCTTTTTAATGTCTTAAAAAGAAGGAAGGTTAAAAAAAAAAAATCACGTTATATACATATATGTATATATTTTTCATTTCCATTGCATCAGGAAATAATGTTTAAGTACATAGGTTTCTTCTGTTTGGTTTGGTCAATATATGAACTGTGTCACGGATTCATGACTAAAATTAACTTTCGATACTGTGGGTGGGGGTTGTTAAAAGGACTGGGAGGGGGAGAACGCGGCTTCACACTCCGGCCTCGCCTTCGAAAGCCAGGGTGGCCCAAGAGGTGTGTTCAAGATGTCGCCTTCTCCGCTACCTGAGAAGACCTGTTGAGATAGCCAATATCCCAGCCGTCATCCTCGCTGTCGCTGCTCTCGCCTCCGCCGGCCACTGCCATGCCCCTCAGTGTCCCTGCCGCCATGCCCACCCGACAGCTCTCCCAGGGCCTGCGCACTACCGGAACAGGCGGCCGGAAGCAGCACTGCGCAAGCGCTGGGGGCCTCAAGCGCAGACGCAGAGCAGCAGAGGTGGCTCCTACCTTGCCCTCTCCAGCCAGAAGTATGGTGTGGGAGGCTGCAAACCATTGCTCCACGCCTGAGGGGCTCCGTAATGGTACTTCCAGTTCCTATTAGGGACTTCATCTTTGTTTTTTAAAAAAGTAGTTTACACCTTTAGTTCCAGCACTCCGGAGGTAGAGGCAGGCAGATCTCTCTGAGATTGAGGTCAGCCTGGTCTGCATAGTGAGTCCCAGGCCAGCTGGGGTGCAGGAAGACACTTCTGAGGATCTTGCACTTCAAAGAATGCCCTGCTTGTGGAAGGCACCGACCAAAACTAAGGTTTTGCCTCTGTCCCATTTGATAACTTTCCCTCCCCTTCTGTTTTCTCAGGATCACTTAACATTTATGTATATCATGTGCAGCGATTTATATGTCTTTTTTTGTTCTCTGAAATTTAGTGTTTTGAAACTAAGTATGGCTATGTAGTCTAGGCTGGCCTGTGTAGCTCAGGCTGCCCTCAAACACCACCTTCCTGGTTCTATTTCCCGAGTGCTGGGATTATAGTTCTGGAACACCATGTCCACAATGAATTTGTGTGGCTTCCTTGATGCCAGATGTCAAGCTTCTCCATACCTGTTTTTACTTCTGGATGAGCCACAAAGTCTAGAATACTGCTTTTCTGTATCAAAGATGTTTCATTCAAGTTTGTTAAATGCTGAAGTAAGTAAATTTTTGTCTTTCTTATTCCATCATGAGATTCGTGTCAGTACTTCCCCAGTCCTCAATCTGAAATGGAAAAAATACAATTTTGTCCCCAGTTTTTACTGTGCCTATATAGAAACAGGGAGAAATGGTGCTGGAGCTATTGAATGCCCTTAGGTTGAAAAAATGGACTTTGAGCCAATTTATGAAATGAACTAAAGGTTGATCATAGATATATGTGAAAATTTATAGAAGCATTATTCATATTAGCTAAAATAACACAACTCAAATATCCACCTAATGAAAGGATATATATATGTATATGTACACACACATATATGTATATATGAATGTTAGTTTCTTAGGGCTACTGGAATGCATTACCACAAACAGAGTGGCTTATGACAGCATGATTTTTTTCTCTCAACATTTTGGGGGCTGGAAATCTAAATTTCATGTGTCAACAGGGCTGTGACACCTCTCAAGGCTCTGGGTGAACATTGTGCCTTGATGCTTCTTAGCTTCTGGTGATTCTTGCAGCCATTGGCTTGTAGATGCCTCATTTTAATCTCTCTCCCTTTTTCCTTGCATTTTTAATTTGTGTCTCTAAATTCCCCTCTTTCTATATAGGACCAGCTATATGAAGTTCAGTACTCATCTTAAATCCAGAAGGATCTCATCTTTACTTAATTACATCTGCAGTGACCCTGTTCTAAAGTAAGATCACTGCACAGGTTCTAGGTGAGCATGAAGTTTTGGGGGATGCTTTTCAATCGATCATCTGTGCCACTTAGCACAGTGCTCTTAAGACCGCTGTTGTAGCATGTAGCCATACTTTTATTTATTTTTTCTGAATACTGTATGATTTCCTGAAGTTAGCATATAACTTTAAAAGGTTATTGTAATTGCAACCTGTAGAAATGACATGAAAAGTGGAGAGGAGAGAATGCATTCAAATTTCTGTGAATTAGAATTATTAAGTTTTTTGGTAAATATGGATAACAGAGAGAGAGAAAATCAAAACTAAAAGGATAAAGTCTGGAGGAAGCAGACAGGTTTTGTTCTGCAGAGACAGCTTAAAAACCCAAGGAACACTGGTGTTCCTATAAGACAGAAGATCCTCCTGAGGTCTTGGATATTGGCTTAATTTTAGAGTTCATTTTCCTAAGATGTAAGAATAGACAAAGTGATGATTACCAAAAATGAAAGAAGAAGATGAAATCAGAGAGCCAAGACTGTATCTTTAGGCACCTACTATCCCTTTTGGAAATATCAAAGAAAAGGGGTCACTTAAAGGACTTAAGAAATAGTTATTAAATAAGCAAAGAAAAATTTATAGTGCTTTCTGTGTACTACTATTGTTCTAAGAGTTTTGTGTATATTAATCAGTTAAACCTTATACAATCTTGTTGGGATAAATGCCACATTAAAATTTACAGAAGGAATAAGAGGTGCAGATAGTTAATCTGCCCAAGACCACCTATGTATAAAGGCAGTAAGCAGTCCATATTTTTAAGCCATTACTCTCTGACTCTTTGATAGTATGTCCATATGTCTTGATACTTCTCTAAGCACTTTATGTCTACTAATTCATAGAATTGCACTACATTAGATTTCCATTCTAAATTTGGAAACTCAGGTAGAGAACGGTTAAATGAACTGCCCAAGATCATTCAAGCAGGATCACTTGACTTCACCCCAGACTTCAAAATAGGGGTCAGATTTAACTTTAAAAAGGTAATGGCCTCCAAAGAACTCTCTTTTAAAAGATACTTAATTCTATTTGTTTTACCCCATATTTTAAAGAGATGCATTCCTTTCCAGAGATCTCATCTTCTGACTGGAAAGTCGGACTGAATAAACTATGATTCATTTACAGGTAAATCACAAGTTTTGTTCCTGTTCAGATAAGAAATTGGTAATTAGGTTTTTGTTTAAAAAGATTTGGGAGTTTCCCCAGGGGGACTTCCTGGAATGGATCAGAAAGCTCCTTATCCACTGCATTAAAGACTACAGTGTTCTGTTTGGTTCAGTGATGACAAGAGACCGATCTCTGAAAGAGGACATGGCCAACTGTACACTAGGCATGAATATTACTCCAATTTGGGTTCTTCCTAGGTCTTGGGTTTTAAAAATTAACTTTCAAACTTTGACTTAGCTATCAGTGATGGTTAGCTAATACATTTTATTTTTATCGTGACAAGTTGTAAACTTATCTTTAAAAATATTATAATCTTATAGTTCTTGCAGTTTTCTCTAGGAATATGTATGATTCTATTTTCAAAAATTTAAAAATAACTGTGATTTAAAAATCTTAATGCTCTCTGAAATCCAGCTTGGTTAATTGTTTTTTAGAGAGAATGTTGGAAGCATAAAATGGTTAAAAATAGTTTTAAATTATTAGAACTCTTTTTCAAAAAATAGTTTAGTGATTAGAAATGCAATTACTTTTTATTATATATCAGCAATTCATTCTACAAATACTGTAATGCTACTATATTTTCTAGGCATCAGAGAAGTTTTAAGAAAAACAAGTAAGATTCTTGATCCTAGAATGTTTGTAGTCTAGCAAGATAAACAAATAAAAAATATGCAATTAAATATCAGTAGTGATGAGTCCTTTAAAGAAAAAGTTGCCAAAGAAGATAGGAGGTAAGGGAGGCTAGTAGGAATTTAAAATATTTAATTTAAAGACAGTTTCACTGAGGTGCTATTCTTAGTGTGACAGAAAGTTACAAGGATCTGATTTATCATTATACAAGTACACTGGCTTTGAGGTTAAGAAACTTTATGTATGAAAGCAAACTAATTAACTGAATTAATGGGTGCAAAGTGTTTAGAGACTCGGGCACCAGATAACTATCTGTGGTAATAGTGTATGTCCTCAACATTGCTTGCATATTAGAATGTTTCGGAGACAGCCAGCCCTGGTCTAAATCAGTAATTACAGAACCCTACTCAGTTTAAGAGTATATTTCTCAAGACTCCACATCATTTGTCTAGTTAGCTATGATTGGAGAAGAACATGGAAGGAAGATATCAGGAGCTGGATTTAGGGCAGTTATCTATATCCAGTATGAAAATGTAAAAAGCTAAAATTCTGAAATCAAGGGGCTGGAGAGATGGGTCAGCAGTTAAGAGCACTGCCTGCCCTTACAGAGGACCTGGGGTGGTTCCTAGCATCCACATGGGTCAGCAGTTAAGAGCACTGCCTGCTCTTACAGAGGACCTGAGGTGGTTCCCAGCACCCACATGGCATCCCTAATTCAATTCCAGGTGATCTGGCCGGTCTTCTGACCTCTATGGATATTTCTTGGCATGGGTATACTTTTACATACATGCAGGCAATACACTCATACTCATAAAATGAAGATAAATAAAAATATTGACAAAAAGAATATTGAAGATAAGCAACTGAAACAGGAGTTGATTATCTGAATTTACTTAAAGAATATTGTTTAGAAGAGAGAACAAACAAAATTCTTAAAGAGAAAAATTCAAAAGAAAAGATGAAATTTAATATTGATTAAGACGTATTAAGTAGTACAATACAAGGACTTAATGACTAATGGTGTCATGTTTGTTTCTTCATATATTCTTGTGTGAGGCCCAGAGTTGAAAATGGCATGGAAGAAGGGTGTAGGAGGCTGGCAGGTACCTGTGAAGATGTCTAGACATGAGATTCAGGATATATAGGTTGTGTTGAGATACTAGACAAGATTGGCCAATTGACTGGAAGTAAGACGATAGGGAAAGGTTAGTGGTGACTTCTAAATTTTAGACCTACTCAATCTGGTGAAAAATGGTGGTTCTATATACTATAACCAAAAATGACTGAAAATAAATAGAAAAGCAGAGATATGTATGTGTGGGTGGGGTGGTAATGGTAGTTAGGTTTGCTGTCTGAATTAAAAGCATCAGTTTATATTTTATGATATAGAGATCTAGTTAAAGTCTAAGATGAATGTTAAATAGTTAAATACAAGTTCACAATTTGGATGCTTAGTTTCATGAATTAAAATTTATGTTTGATTTTTGTTGAATTAATGAAAACAAAAATGCCCACTTAGCTTTCAAAGATAATGTTCTTAGGGTTCATTTTACTATCCGTGCTATTTTATATCTCTTTCTTCCTAGAGTTTTAATTTATCCATGTGGTTTTTCATATAGGCATGGTACAAATGAATATCTTAAGAATATGATAACCTTACAGTGTAGTTGTAGACTGCTGGGAAATAGTAATGGC